TTGACAGTAATACACTAGAAGCAAAAAAAAAAAAACCATGGCTTTGCAAGAAAGGAGATTTATTTTTCTCTAATAATTGAGTTTGTCTTCTGATGAGGAAAATTGTCTGCTAAAAGGGGATAATGAATGAGTTTTCCTAAGAAATAAAAAGGGAATAAGCTTCCTTTGTAATACAAGTTGCTGAACCTCTAATGTAAGTTGCTGATTTAGTACATTATCATTAATCAACGTAAGAAAGGACCAGGACGATGGGCCACTTATTTAACATTTTCAGGCTGTGCTCTTATTCTCGGCTCTCTAATGGTTGATCGCTGGGCCCTGAAGGACCATGATTGTGCTATGCATTGGGCCCGTCCAGATTATAAGCCAAGTGTTAGATGACTGAAGACATGACTGGAATGATAAAGTCCAAACACCATAAAGAGCCACCTTTCAACACTTTCTTCTATAGCAACAATTGTTTGATATACCATTACAATTCTAAGAAGGTTGGGTGCAGTTAATCTAAAATGGGCCAAATCTTGATTTGTACAGCAGTGCTAACTAAGACTGTCCATAATATGAACTTTTAAAGTGAATCTACTTTAACACTATACCACAAGCAACAAAATTAGGGAGGTAATAGTTGCATCTAATCAGTGCAGCAGAGTAACTCCAGGAATCTGTGGCCTCAGGACGGGATCAATATTCTGAGGTCCCAGGTAGAGGTGATAAAAAGAATGTGAAACATTGCTCCATATTTAACCAGGCATGGGTGGTTAGAATTTGACTGCAACAGCTCATTCCAAAATCCCATTGTTAAAGGAACATTCCAGGTACCATAACTACTACATCACACTGTAGTGGTTATGGTGCCAGGAGTTTCCTGGTGCCAGTGGGATGTAAGTAGTCAAACAATCTGGAAACAGTTTTATTTCATGTGGTCTATTGGGTGCAGTCTGTAGTCTCCCTGTGGCTGGAAGCTCTCTTTACTTAGCACACTGGCTGAGATAGATCAGCTTATGTGCTAGGCTAATGAGCTGACCCTGCACTGCAGAGCTTAGTTCAAAAGAGCTAACAAAATTTCCTAAAGGAACTTCTGGCTCTCACTTCTGGGTAAATAGAGGTATGGAGTGGCGCCTATGGACCCCCATTACCAAACCGATTGAGTGCTTACTAGGGCAGACCACCCATTCAAAATCAAATGGTGCAGGACTCATTGCAGCTACATTCCCTGAAAAGAGGTACCTTTACTACACCAACCCTTTTCTGCTATATCTCCCAGCTAGAGAGCCTAAACCAGCCACTTACACCATTCAGGGACTCAAACAAGGCTCTCTCAGGTACAGTGTGCCCAGCCAGGAGCTACACAGAAACCATTTGGAAGGGAGATCAGAGAGGTGACAAGGCACCCAGAGATACCAAAGACTTTAGGGAGCTCCATACACCGGAGTCAGCAGAAGCCATCTTTTGTCACCAGGACTTTCCACACCGCCTCCTGAACCTATCTGGCGGATCTGAGGGTAGTCACACACTGGCTTAAAACTTTAACTCCGAATAACCTGAATTAGACACCTCTGATCCAAGAACTTTTTGAACCGGTTACCCTTCTGCAGGAGAGCTACACATGGATGTCAAATGTTTGGGGATACTATACAGGGAGATTGTGTGTTGTGGTAACGTTATGTTAGGTGCCCCGGTGTCTGGCAGCTAATGAAATTATCTTCTAGTAAGAAAAGTATGTCCCAGGCACCAGGATTGTGCTATGCATTGTGTTTGTAACGACCCCCTGTTAGGGACACTGTATAAAAAGCCAATAAAGTGTGTCTGTTTCACCCTGCATCAAGCCTCAGCTGATGATTGGGGGGGGAGATCTATAATCACTCTGGGGCTTTACGGAGGCGGAAAGGGAATCCATGGCGGCGATACTCCTGCCAACTAGAAGCGGTCTGCTACACTTATATTATGGTTATGGTTCTTTAGTGTTTCTTTAAATGCTTTATGATTCAACAGTGCTCATATTAATACCTGACAATGCTTTCAGTAAGGCACACGGAATTTCTGTTCAAGAGACATTATAACCTAATCTTATTTTTGCAGAATGAGGTACTGGGTAATTAATTTCTCAAATAGGATTCTGACCAGGCTTTTCTGTTTTGTAATTATTCTTACAGATTGCTGCAAAATGAGTCTGTCTGCCACCTCCACCAGCACTTGTTCATACTCCTCCAAATCCGATGGGTGGAATACTTTGCACAGAGAGCAACAGCAGGAGTAAAACATGAATATAAGATGTTATATGTGTCTTGTGGTATTGTTTTACTTTAAACGTGACTCCCAGCTTCTTTGTATTTCTGGTTTTATGGTTTAAATCCAGTTTCCCAAAATTAAAGAATAGCAGGCTGGCTAGAGTCTGTACCCTTTTTAGTTTCATTAACTATATTTATGGATGTAACCTTCTCAAGATCTCAGACATTTATTCAGGAGACACTATGCAACGGAATGATTCCTACGAAACCTATTTTGTCCCGACAAACACTTCATTGGATTAATTATGTGTCAAGAACTCTTTTCAAAGTCCCGCCTGGTCTATCAAAACATTTTCAAGTGGTTCAATAAAAACAGGAGGATTCCCAGTATTCTAAGTCTACAAACTCAGTATGGAGGACGTTTAAAACATGAGACACAACATGAGCATGTATTGCTTGGTTAAAACCCCTTCAGCCACTTACCTTAATCCAGCGCCGGGCTCCCTCAGCGCTGGTGATCTCTCCTCCCCCTGCCGACATCAGCTCCGAAAGCGCATGCGTGGCAAGAGCCGCGTGCGCATTCAAACTGCCCATAGGAAAGCATTACTCAATGCTTTCCTATGGACGTCAGCATCATCTAAGTGTGCTTTTCACAGTGAGAATCGTGGAAGACAGCCACTAGAGGCTGAATTAATCCTCAATGAAAACATAGCAGTTTCTCTGAAACTGCTATGTTTTCAGTTGCCGGGTTAAAGGACCACTATAGTGCAAGGAAAATAAACTCGTTTTCCTGGCGCTATAGTGCCCTGAGGGTCCCCCCACCCTCAGGGTCCCACTCCCGCAGGGCTGAAGTTGGAGGGAGGGGGTTAAACACTCACCTTTCTCTGCGCTGGGGACTCTCCTCCTCCTTTCAACTTCATTGACTGAATGCGCATGCGCGGAAAGAGCAGCGCGCGCGCATTCAGCCAGTCCACAGGAAAGCATTCTCAATGCTTTCCTATGGACACTGGCGTCTTCTCACTGTGAAAATCGCAGTGAGAAGTGCGGAAGCGCCTCTAGCGGCTGTCAGTGAGACAGCCACTAGAGGCTGAATTAACCCTAATGTAAACATAGCAGTTTCTCTGAAACTGCTATGTTTACAGCAAAAAGGGTTAAACCTAGATGGACCTGGCACCCAGACCACTTCATTGAGCTGAAGTGGTCTGGGTGCCTATAGTGGTCTTTTAACAATGGATATGAAATTCCAAAGTCCTTTTGCCATTGCTAAATCACCACTAATAATTTTGACAGAGCTGAATTGCTGTTAATTTGTTCGACAAGGCTGCATCATCAGTGACTTGATTAAAAGGATAATTTGTATAAAAGGATTGTGGAGAACTTGCTTGGGTGAATCCTTCTATACCTTAGTTCTTCCAGATAATATTGGCTTAGTGTGATCTAGCACAATAACAACTACAATTAGTTGTACAATAAGCTGTAGTGGTTATAATGCTTGGAGTGTCCCTTTAGGTTCACGTGCAGACTCAATTGCTCCAGTAAGTAAACTAGCCTAACACCACGTGAAGGAGGTCTATACACAAAATATCAGACAACATATTTTGTCCAACAGTTATCTCTGCAATATGTTTACCGGGCCATTCATAGGACCTGCCACTGACTGCTGACATATCTCTTAACATACTAGTTAGAGATCTATATTTGGACTTTTAAAGTCGTAATGAACCTTAAGAAAATCCAAATTTGTCAGTGGTTGGACTGTTCACAATTCCTAAAGTGTGAAGAAAAATAAAGTGCTTCCACCCTATTTGCACAGTATAAACGTTCACAACCTTTTCTTGTCAGGGTCTCACCTTGATCCTGGTAGGTTTTGTCCACCAAACTCCCCTGCACCATTCCTATCCTTCACCATGTTGGCGTTCAACAGCGCTCCCGACATCTTCCCACAAGGTCGGCTGCCCCCCATAATTTCCATGGCGATCAGTGTCTTCCTGAGCACTGTGAGCACCAGTGGTATACTTGCTACATTCATGTCGCGGTTACTGCTATTTGCAACAGCTTATATATAAATATTAGGATTTTATTTACATTGTAATTCACATAATCAGCTGATCATGACATGTTTATGTATAAAAAACATACACAATGTATAGAAAAGCTTATAAAGTGGAAATTGTAACAAAAATTTAAATTTGACAAAACAGTTTTCTCAACATCATCACAGAACACTCACCATAAGCTATAAAACCAGCGAAGATTTTCAAACAATACTAAGGAATCACCATTATCTCATGCACTCCTCTGTCTGTCGACCATCAACAATACTTTTGGAAGCAGCATATGACGACATTGTTAGAGCTTTAAGCCATACAATGGTTCATTTTAGACTAAGAAGTTACAGCACTACAGAGAGACAACAGCTGGCTCTCATCTGACCTTCCAACATTAATATACAAAAATGGCAAAAACATCAGCACATCTGCAGGAAGACACATGTAATTATACGTGAACACAAGGCTCCAGTTCGGTCATTGAGGAGACCTGAAAGTGATTTGTTGCAGGAAATCACATAAAACTGGCTAAATATATAAAGGAAACTCTAATATTACTCTGAGGCTGTGTGATAGATACTGAGTGAGGCTGAGTTGTAGATACGGAGTGAGGCTGTATGGTAAATACGGAGTGAGGCTGTACGGTAGATACTGAGTGAGGCTGCCTGCTAGATAGTGAGTGAGGCTGCCTGCTAGATACCGAGTGAGGCTGTATGGTAGATACCGAGTGAGGCTGTATGGTAGATACTGAGTGAGGCTGTATGGTAGATACGAGTGAGGCTGTATGGTAGATACTGAGTGAGGCTGTATGATAGATACTGAGTGAGGCTGTATGGTAGATACTGAGTGAGGCTGTATGGTAGATACTGAGTGAGGCTGTATGGTAGATACTGAGTGAGGCTGTATGGTAGATACTGAGTGAGGCTGTATGATAGATACTGAGTGAGGCTGTATGGTAGATACTGAGTGAGGCTGTATGGTAGATACTGAGTGAGGCTGTATGATAGATACTGAGTAAGGCTGTATGGTAGATACTGAGTGAGGCTGTATGGTAGATACTGAGTGAGGCTGTATGATAGATACTGAGTGAGGCTGTATGGTAGATACTGAGTAAGGCTGTATGATAGATACTGAGTAAGGCTGTGTGATAGATACTGAGTGAGGCTGTATGGTAGATACCGAGTGAGGCTGTATGGTAGATACCGAGTGAGGCTGCCTGCTAGATACCGAGTGAGGCTGCCTGCTAGATACCGAGTGAGGCTGTGTGATAGATACTGAGTGAGGCTGTATGGTAGATACTGAGTGAGGCTGTGTGATAGATACTGAGTAAGGAAGTATGGTAGATACTGAGTGAGGCTGTATGGAAGATACTGAGTAAGGCTGTATGATAGATACTGAGTGAGGCTATATGGTAGATACTGAGTGAGGCTGTGTGATAGATACTGAGTGAGGCTGTATGATAGATACTGAGTAAGGCTGTATGGTAGATACTGAGTGAGGCTGTGTGATAGATATTGAGTGAGGCTGTATGATAGATACTGAGTGAGGCTTTATGATAGATATTGAGTGAGGCTGTGTGATAGATACTGAGTGAGGCTGTATGATAGATACTGAGTGAGGCTGTATGGTAGATATTGAGTGAGGCTGTATGGTAGATATTGAGTGAGGCTGTGTGATAGATACTGAGTGAGGCTGTATGATAGATACTGAGTGAGGCTGTATGGTAGATACTGAGTGAGACTGTATGGTAGATACTGAGTGAGGCTGTATGATAGATATTGAGTGAGGCTGTATGGTAGATATTGAGTGAGGCTGTGTGATAGATACTGAGTGAGGCTGTATGATAGATACTGAGTAAGGCTGTATGGTAGATACTGAGTGAGACTGTATGGTAGATACTGAGTGAGGCTGTATGATAGATACTGAGTAAGGCTGTATGGTAGATACTGAGTGAGGCTGTATGATAGATACTGAGTGAGGCTGTATGGTAGATACTGAGTGAGGCTGTATGGTAGATACTGAGTGAGGCTGTATGGTAGATACTGAGTGAGGCTGTATGATAGATATTGAGTGAGGCTGTATGATAGATATTGAGTGAGGCTGTGTGATAGATACTGAGTGAGGCTGTGTGATAGATACTGAGTGAGGCTGTATGGTAGATACTGAGTGAGGCTGTCTCATATTCAGTGACAGCCAGCGAGTGAACAATTGCCAATGCTATTACAGTTTCAGCAGTCTGCGGGGGTCGTTAGAGCGCAGAGTCATTTCCTGAGCTGTTATTCATTATTTAAACACTAATTAGTATTCCTCTTACCTAATTACAGTTCAGCAGCTACAGAAACAGAAAGTTAAACTGCAGTCTGGCCCATGGGGCTGCCAGCACGAGCAGCAATAGAATCCATTTAACACACACACCCGGGGAGGACCTCTGACATTCTCCAACATAAAACCTCTAGTACTGGACTAAGTCAGGATAATAACGGATAGATAATTAACCCATCCAGCCTGCCACTGGCAGCTGAAACAACTTCCATAATCCTGAGCTAGAATTATTCTGGTCCATATGCCTGGTCTCCTGGACATGTTTAACTGGTTCAAGCTCATGGATAGACAGAAACTTTTATTATGTCAGTGTTAAACATGGACATCAGTTCTGATTCCATGGACTGCAGTAAGAGGGCCCAGACTGGACATTACTTCCTGGCGAGGTGAAAGCACGATGTCATGTCAAAATGATATCATCAGATGATGATGTCATTTTTTTAGCTTTTGTTATTTGAGATTTTTGATTTGCATATTTAATGAATTATCTATACAGTGAGGATGTGCAAATTCTAGCCTGGCACGCATCTTTAAATAGTCCCGTTCCTTACCTAAAAATAAAATGAAAATGGGGCACATTAAAAAAAATCCAAAAACACATATACAATTTAGAGACAGAATTAGGAGAATAAATTAACTATGAAAAGATTGGCTTACAAGCACGTCCAGCTTAATGATATTCATTCAACCCTTTCACTGTCTGAATTCGGGAATAGTAAGAAGCGGGTTAATAAGCTAAATATATGCATTATATCGCTGTGCCCTTCTGCCTAAATCTATCTTCTTGCTGAAGACCAGCTGTCAGCTCTTGTGATGCCATTCCTGGCATTGTCTGTGACAGGCAACATTTGGTGACTGCAAGATGGTATTTTAAAATGACCAGTTTTTAAAGGAAATAATATGAGTTGTTGAGTTGTATAATTCACTTGAACTTTAGTTTCTAAATAGAGTTTGAGCAAAAGAGCTGATAATTAGGTTTTATTTAAAATAAATAGGAATCAGTGTAGCAGGTCTGTTTGGGGAAATAGGTAAAGAGGGAATTCTTGAATAAAGCACTTATAACAGGGGTTCCCAACCCAGTCCTCAAGTACCACCTACCAGTCCAGGATTTAGGAGTTACCCTGTTGTGTCTAATATGTTTTTCTTTTTATAAAAACACCTTACACATAACAGGCTAATCCCTAAATCCTGGACTGGTAGGGGTTACTTGAGGACTGGGTTGGGAATCCCTGTTATAAGATAAAAGGGTTAACTCACTAAACTCGGATCAGTATTTCCGATTTTCAAAATATTTACAAAAACATTTAACCGAGTCTCCGGTAATCGAAGCACAGTTGTGATGTTTGAGTTTAAGCAATGGGACTTTACGAAACACATCAAGTAAAAGGTTGTGTCAGTACAGTGTGCATATACATCCAAAATGTGCACTTCTGTCCTGCCATGCAGATCACATCAGCAGAGCTCTTTGTTTTGGGGTCCCTGAATGGGACTGGCCATAGCACCAGTCAGTCAGCCTAGCCAGGGTCAGCCCAAGACATTGTGCTGCCTGGATCCAAGTATGAAATGCTCCCTCCCCACCTCCCCAAAACAACAACAACAACAAAAACCCAACATATATGCTTCTGCAATGGTAGTGTCTCTATGTGGGTGTGCTGGGGATGACGTGTGTGTCTGTGTGTGTTCTAGGGGTTGTAGTGTGTCTCTGTGTGTGCTGGGGATGTAGTATATGTCTGTGTGCATGCTGAGGATGCAGGGGAGGGCTGGCAGCCTTAGGCCTGGGGGTCAAATTCAGTCAAGTGGCCCATTGCACCAAGAGGAGAGTAAAAACACCTTGACCATGTGATTAAAAGGGGGTAGTCACCTAAACAGACATTCAAGGACAGGCACACACACACACACACTTGCTGATTTGGCACACACTAAAAAACACACACTCACTGACAGGCACGCGCACACAAACACACACTCACTGACAGACACACTGTTACAGGCATACTGACTCAGACAGACAGACATACTGACACACACACAGACAAACTGGCACACACACAGAGACATACTTGCACACACATAGTCATACTGACACACACAGACATACACAGAAAGACACTGTTACAGGCATACTGACTCAGACAGACAGACATACTGACCCACACACACACAAGCATACTGGTTGACACACACACAAAATGGCACACACAGATACATACTTGCACACACATAGACATACTGACACACACAGAGAGACACACTAAACACACAGACACACACTACAAACATTACACACATACAAACACATAGATACCCACACTAAATAGATACACACACTACACAGATACACATACAGATACACACAGACAATACACACGGATACACACACTATGCATACACAGATACACACACATTACACTCATATGAACAGATACACACATTGCATATGTCCATCGGTGGCCCTCACACAGGTTCCCAATCCATGCGCTTGCTGCTGCACCACCGTCAATGGTTGGGATATCCTGTTTTAGATTATGACAGGGGCGGTCTATGAAATTTATGAACAGAACCACCCATTTACTAAGTGGTCCTGCCATCTAGTGGCCAGCCCACCTCAGCATGTCAGATCTACACCTGCCACTGTTGGGAGATGTGAATATGCACTGTGCTTGTGCATGCTCATAACATTTAAGATGTGCTCAAAGCATGCTAGATAGTCTCTTGATATACTTGTTTTTGCTATGCTTTAGATGTGCGCAATCACTTTGTATGTTTTTTTTTTTTTATTATGCTTTCGATGTGCCTCTGAGGATTACCTCAGTATGTTTCCAGTATCTAGGATTAGGGATTCATTGATTCCAACTCAAGAGTATAACTTTGGATATGCAACATCAAAAAAATACAGAGTATACAGGCAGATTTGCCTTAATGAGTATATATACTGTATTGCACTGGGCTCCTATTATATATTATGTATTGCCTGTCTTATTTAATTACTTTTTTATGTTTTTGTTTTGTATACTGACAAGACCTAATAAATTTATTTTACTGGGGAAAAAATATACAACTGTGATGTCCGCCTCCACACTGGAAAACAGTCATAACAGCTAAATTTATTATCGCTTGGCAAGATGAAAGTATTATTTATCTGCTGGGAATATTATTTTAAATGGATTAATGTGATGAAATTATAAGGTGACAGAAATGTTTTAATAAGTATATTTAAAGGGACACTGGAGGATGGCAGTGACCAATTCTTTTTAAAATGCATTATGCAGAAATATAAAACCCAAATTAAAAAGAATAAAAAATACCCACATGTCATAGATGCCAAAAGTCCCAAATTTTCCAGGACTGAGTCACAATTCTTGGTACTTTCCCAGCAAATTTAGGTCCCCTGGTACCTGTCCTGCGTTTAGAAATCTGATGGCGGGAGAGTACTTGGCACTATAACCATGCACACATCGTTTTAGCAGTGCTCCTTGCATGATCTTCTATAGGGGGCAAGCTGTCAGTCAGTCTGGCCCCCCTCTTTAGGTGTCAGCACGCCCCCTTTGCTGGACAGAATCAGGAGGTTGGTGGGAGGTTGGTAAAGGGGGTGGGACAGTGCTGCAATTGTGTCTATAGTTCCACCCAAAATTGTGGTTATTTGTGTTCCCCTTAGTGCTATTTGGTCAGTGGCGTACACACAACCCATGGGGCCCCGGTGCGAAAACTGATCCGTGGGCCCTCCCCCTGCTCCCCTCCTGCCCCCCCGCTATGTTTCACTGAGGGTTAGTCCAGCCTCTAGTGGCTGTCTCATTGAGTAATGCTTTCCTATGGGCGGTGTGAATGCGTGCGCGGCTCTTGCCGCGCATCCACATTCGTAGCTGAGAGGCGGATCGGGGCGGAGGGATCCCCAGCGCCAAGGGAGTCTGGCTCTGGAGAAAGGTAAGTGCTGAAGACACACACACTCTCACGAACAGACGTATAAACACTAGCTAACAGAAACACACACTCTCACAAACAGACACATACACACTAGCTAATAGACACACACATTTACTGACAGACACACACTCAGTGACAGGCACACATACACACTCACTGACAGACATACACATACACACTCACTTACAAAACACACACTCACTAAAAGACACCAGACTCACTAACAGACGCACACAAACTAACACACTCAGTAACAC